TATAAAGTGTGTGTATATTTAAATTTGTTTAGGGGTGGGGGGGGGGGGGGGGTGTGTCATTCATTAACACCGGGACTGTAAATGAATAGCATGTAAAATTGTTGCGTAAATGGACAGAGCTATATAAATACTTGTAATAAATAAATAACTTTAACCTGAAAGTAGCTTTTAATACAACTTTGAGATTTTTATTTGGTAACTGTTCTGGATTTGAATATTGTATTTAAATTTACAGAATTGTAAATGCTCCCTCTAGTGGTCATATCTATATCAGAGCATGTGACTAGTGTTCCGTGCAGCTTGAGCTTTATTTACCTGATTTTACTTAATTGGAAATGAGATTCCTTGCTTAAAGAAACCCGTACTAAGGAATCATGGGGGCTGCCATTGCTGGCTTATCATTCTGAATATATTAGTTTGCTGACTGTCAACTTGTGCAGCGCTCTACATAGTGCACATTCACATCAGTCTCTGCCCTCAAGGAGCATACAATATAAGGTCCCAAGCTCACATACAGGGCTGATTTAGACAGGAGCCAAATAACATAGACCAGCATGTCTTTGGAGTATGGGTGCAAGCACAGGGAGAACATGTAAACTCCGTGCAGAGAGTGTGCAAACTGGGATTTGAACCAGGGACCCCCAGAACTGCAAGGCAGAAGCTGTAACCACTATGCCACTGTGGATGAAGTACATGCTCAGTGGTGGAACAACTTTGTAAATCAATTCTGAACTCACTTTGACTTTCCTGATCTGCATACTTCAGAATGTCCAAAAGTATTAAAGCCGCAGAAAGGCAGTTAACTGGTATGTTGGGACGGAGAAAATTATTTGAGGGGTTCTCCTAGACCTGAAAATTTATTTAATGGGTTCATCAGGTGCAAAAAAGTTTAGGGAGGCTGATCTAGACTATACAAGTGATATGTTATGTTCTATAGAAAAACAGTTTCACTTTGACATGTGGATTTTACAGACCTCGTCTAATTAGAATTTTTATCATATGCGGTGTTTGAATTGTCCAGGTTTTGCTAAATATTTACAGAATAAGAGACTTTATAGACACAGTGCACGTATTCCTTTTATCCCCCTCCCCTGACCCAAACAACGCCACCATTGCCCTCCACAGAGCTATACATATTGAGATCTAAGGGCCGCTGTTCCGTTGTTGGTTGACATCCAGTTTTGCAAGTCTCCCTCTCTTGCTGCATCTGGATCCCTACTGTAAAGTGCAGGATCGGCCAGCAGAGGGAGCATTGCAGCTCTCGATGTGAACAATAGCGGAACTGTGTCCGTATCAATGTGCAGATGGGGAAGGTGTGATTGTTTAGGTTAGGGCTGGGGGACAAGTGCACTTTTCTTTAAAGTATACTTATCTCTTAAAATCTAGCTAGCCGTATATGAGGGTTCACTTTAAGGAATAGCAACATGAGATATATCATCAATGTCATTACCTGTGCCTAATTCCCATGATTTAATAATGAGCTCTCTCAAAGATTCCACAACATTTTTCCAGACATCATCAAAAGCTTCTGCAGCTACAGTGTCTTTGATGCAATCATTAGGAGAAACAGGAGGAATGCCACGCCTAGACCTCTTCTGGTGTAGATGAGCCTTTTTCTGATCCAGACTCTCATCATCACTAATGATCAAAGAAGATTTCATTTGATTAATTATATAAAACATACATTACAAAACAAAGAAATAAAAAGCAACTTCACAATAGTTTGTATATAAAATTATTCTACCATGTGTACAGTGAGGGCGGATTTACACTATGAGCTGACAAAATGCATGCAGTGTTGTGCTTTTTTTTTGTTTATATATAAATTCTTTAATTTATCAAGATTTTAAACATATCTGCGTATGCATCAAGCGGGGGCAACAACTCCCATCGTAGAAGCAGTGGGCGCAGCCACTGAACATATATAGTACAAAAAAGAAAAAATACAACATATTGAAAACTGTCACCTGTCACAACCCTAAGGCAGATAGACATAGATAAAGCCCTCATTGACCACATGTCAGTTCGTGTGCTGGATACTTTGGATCTGTGGGATGGTCATGCAATCCCACAATGGGCTCCCAATCGTCTGAGGAGACCGCCACAGAAGGAGGGGGTCGAACCCACCTTCTCCAGCGCAGCCCCTCCACAGCCCAATGCGCGGACCGCCCATCCGTGATTTAACTCGGGTGAATGGCCCACGGAAGGCTCACAGGCCATCCGGCATTCTCAGACCAAGAGATCCAGGTATTCTTGTGTAGACGGAAATCCATCCCACCAGAGCCAGGTAGTCCTTAACCAAGTACCACCCCCATTTATGGAACTAGTAAGGTCCTCCATGTGTCTAATGTACCGAACCCTGCTGAGCCATAGTTGCATCGAAGGCGGGGAAGCATTCTTCCACATGGCCGGGTTGCAGGCCCTAGCAGCATTAATCAGGTGGATAATAACCGACTTTCTATACCCCTTCAGTGAGTGTGTGTTGTGATGTAGGAGAAAGAATGAGGGTGTCATGGGGACCCTAGTGGAACTAGTAAGGTCCTCCATGTGTCTAATGTACCGAACCCTGCTGAGCCATAGTTGCATCGAAGGCGGGGAAGCATTCTTCCACATGGCCGGGTTGCAGGCCCTAGCAGCATTAATCAGGTGGATAATAACCGACTTTCTATACCCCTTCAGTGAGTGTGTGTTGTGATGTAGGAGAAAGAATGAGGGTGTCATGGGGATCTGATTGTCTGTGAATTTTTTAGTGATTGCGTGGACTTGGGTCCGAAAAAAAATGCACACCAAATGCAGAGCAGATCCGAACAGGTTTCTGCACAAGCACGCTAGTCTTTTAGATGCGTTTTTGACGCGTTTATGGTTAAAAAAAAAAAATTTTTTTTAGTTTAACATGGGCTTTCAGTGCGTTCCAGGCATTTGCATACGTTTTTAACGTGTTTTTGATGCGTTTGCAGATCCAGAGCAGGTAAAATAGAGCCTGCTGCAGTTTTTTTTTACCTGCTATGGATCTGCATGCTGCGATGTGAACTGGAGCTCAAAATACCATTGGAATACATTGGATGCAGTTTTGATCCGGTCTGCACCTGCTCTGCTCTGCACCTGCTCCGCGCTTGGTGTGAACAAGCCCTTAGGAGAACTATAGGGAAAAGCCCTGACCCCATAGTTCTCCTTTTAATACTACGCCCCATATCAACCACTGTGGGAAGGAGCTGTGGAGCATCAGCCTTCTGGGAGCTGTAGTCCCAGGGGCAGGGGTGTGGAATTCCCATCGCCCAACGCCTGGGACATGCAGTTTCGGGCGCCGGGCGAGTAGTTTTTTTGTACATTTAGCTCTGCTCTGGACAAGCAGAGCTAAATGTACAGTGGGGAGCCGCCGCTCGTTTAGTACAAGTGATCTGATCAGATCACTTGTATGAAAGGAGCAGCGGTGATCGTGTCCAGGGGCCCACCCCGCCGTGGTTTTCAGGGTCCCCCGCTCCTCTGAGGGACCCGTGACCAAGGCAAAAGAGCTCACAGTAGAGCAGTGGTTCTCAACCTTTATAGGGCCGGGACCCCTTGGTAACATTTGCCAAGTTGTGGTGACCCCCCAATGGTAAAATTTAGGGATGGTGCGGCTGCTGCAGCGACATCTGGCGGGAGAACTGACACTGCTGCGCTATCATTAATTCCTTGTTATTTATTTAGTTTCCTCAAAAAAACATCGGGCGGGGGATCACAATTTTTTGTTCTTGCCTCGGGCGCAAAATAGGCTAGCTACAGCTCTGCCCAAATGTATTTGGTAATCAGGGACTGAGCTGTCCAGAAACCCCTGGGGACCGAGATGGGGAGTGCTTGGACAGGGTATAGTAATCTCGGTAAGATGTTCTGTTCAATGACGTTGCACCTGCCTGTCCAAGAGAACGCTAAACGAGACCAGTCCCTGAGGTCCATTCCTATTTTTTGCAGCAGGGGTAGAAAATTCAAACAATAAATTGCATTCAATTCTCTCAGGAGCTGGACGCCCAGGTATTTGATCGAGTTTGATGACCAAGCGAACTGGAAATTATTTTGGAGACCGAGCACGTGGGTGGGAGGGAGGGAGACATTCAGGGCCTCTGATTTTTGGGCATTAATATGATAATTGGATAGTTTCCCATATTCGGCAAATTCCGCGAAAAGATATGTCCGGGGCAGTGAGAAGAAAAAAAAAGAGTAAATCGCCCGCGTAGGCAGCCACCTTGTGGGTATGGGTCCCCGCATCGACTCCGCGAATATCCGGGTTGGACCTAATTCTCCTCAGTAAGGGCTCCAGGGTAATGATAAAAATCAGAGGCGAGAGAGGGCACCCTTGTCTCGTTCCGTTCGATATAGAAAACGTATCCGATAATCCCCCATTAATTTGTACTTAAGCTGAGGGTCGAGAATATAGGGACATAATCCACGACATCATGTGTGGGCCCAGACCCATATGTTCAAGGGTAGCTCTCATGAAGGACCAGTCTACCCTGTCGAAGGCTTTCTCCGCGTCCGTGGACAATAAAAAAGCAGGAGTCGCCTTCGACATGGCAGAGTGAATAAGGTTAATGGCTCTGGTAGTGTTGTCCCTAGCCTCTCGGGAGGGGACAAAACCAGCTTGGTCAGGGTGTATCAGCCGTCCTATATACGGGAGCATACGTATTGCCAGGATTTTGGAAAACAATTTAGTGTCGACGTTCAACAGCGAGATTGGGCGGTAGCTCGGACAAGAGAGAGGGTCCTTGCCTTGTTTTCGGGATGACCGCAATGTGGGCGGAGAGAGAGTCAGCGGGTAGACCGTACCCATTCTGTACCAAATTAAGGGCTCTAACGAAGTGAGGGTTGAGAAGGGGAGCATAACGCTTATAGTACATCAGGGTAAAACCATCCGGACCAGGGGCCTTCCCCGTGTTTGTCTACGTCAGAGCCGTTTCCAATTCCAATTCTGTAATCGGGAGTTCTAAAGATTGCACAACCTCGTCAGGGATGGAGGGCAGGCCCGAGGATTCCAAGTATGACCGGATTCGGGACAGTCGCTGCGCGTTCAGGGCCGCCGATCTAGGTTGTGGGAGATTGTATAGGGAGGAATAATATTCTCGGAACTGGTCCGCGACCTCCGAGGAGAGGTGCGATAGGGACCCAGTCTTGGATTTTATGACCGGGATGAACGTTTTAGATCTCTGGTGAAGGAGCGCATGGGCCATAGATCTGCTACAATGGTTACTATATTCATAAAAGTGTCTCCTGCATTTAGCCAACATCGCCTTAGCTCTTTGCAGGCACAAGGAGCGCAAGGACTCTCTCAGAGATGTCAGTTGGGCGAGTAGAACCGGGTCTGAGCACTGTTTGTGAAGGGTTTCAAGCATTTTGGATCTGTGTCAGTAGAGAGGAAATCTGGTGGAGACGCTGGCGTTTGATGCGAGCGCCAATCTTGATCAGAGTGCCCCTGATATATACCTTATGGGCCTCCCATATCGAGTATAGGGAGCAATCTGAGGGGGCATTCAGAGCAAAATAGGATCTCAGATTCTCTTCAATTTCTCCTAATAGGGCCAGATCCTACACTACGGTCTCATTCAGACGCCAGCGCCACGGTCGTATCTCCGATGTCCCCAGATCCACCTTGACCATAACCGCCGCATGGTCAGATAAGGATATGTTACCAATGGCAGAGTGTGAAACCAACGGCAATAAGGAGTGGTGCACTAGGAAGTAGTCAATGCGCGTATAGGTTTGTTGAGCCGTGGAGAAGAAAGAGTAATCCCTATCTAATGGATGGTGAATCCGCCATATGTCAGACATCTGATGCAGGTGGAGGCACTTCTTGAGGCGCCGCATTGCCGCTCTGGATAAATGGGAGGCCGACCTGGAGGAGCCCACCTGCGGGTTCAAGAGGAGATTAAAATCTCCCCCCACTACCAACACACCCTCCTTGAAGTCGTCCCACAGTGTCAACACTCTTTCCAGGAACGAGATCTGGCCTAAGTTAAGGAGGTACACATGCACTAAGGTAACCATTTGGGATTCAATTTTCCCCTTAAGCATAAGCAAGCGGCCCTCCTCCCAGGCCTGCATGTCAACATAAGTCCACGGTAGGTTTCTGGATAAGATGATAGAGACACCTCTCGACCTCTTGTCTGGCAAGTAGCTATGATAGGACGTTGGGAATCGGTGATCTGACAATTTGTCTCCTGGAAGAAACCGATATGAGCTCTCTGTCTGTGAAGTTCATGTAATATTGCGGTTCGTTTCTCGGGGGTTTTTTCAGGCCCCTACGTTAAGGGACAGGAAACTGTATAGGGGCATGTTGGGATCCTGGCGTATTACTGAGATGCTAATCTGGGATGGGACCGGGAGAGGGGGAAAGGAGTGAGGTTCCGCTGGAGGAAGGGAGTAGAGATTAGGAGGGAAGGGACAGAGGCAGGCAGGAAGGGGATGATAGGGGGCAAGAGGCAGACCAGCTGAAGAGGAGGGATAGGAGAGGGGGCAGACCCCTGAGGATATTGGATGGGGATGGGGAAGGGAAGAGAGAATACAAGAACGAAAACTAAGAGGAACCGAAGTTCCGGGTCGAATCCCTGCTATGGGGCAGGGGCCCAGGTGGGCAGGGTACCCCAGGAGCCGATCAATGAATACCATCTTGTAGTGTCCCCATCTCAACCCGGACGCAGGTAACTTCTGTAGGAGCATAGTAAGTTAGATTGTCAGCATAAACACCTGAGCACACAAAAAAAAACCTCAACCATTCCCGCGGGCACAAGGCATAGATTTCCAAAAGACCACCAATTATTTCGGGAGAACAGTAATCTTAAACTGGCACTTAAGGTAATGCAACACAACCCTTAACGTTACTTCCGACTGGAAATCCCGGGCAGCCATGGCGGTGCACTGCCCACCCTCACCCACCTAATAATCTCTCGGGTATCATTACCCACCCACTATTGGGCTTTACCCTCCCTGGTAGATCCCCTCATGGGGGAGCGACAACAGGCCCTGGATCCCCAGTGTTTCACCTGTTAGGGTACGCGGTCCACCCAGGTGTAGCCGTCAATAACTGAACCCCCCACGAGCAATCAGTTCTCCGGAACAATGTCAAGGTGGGAAAGGACATTCCAATGTAACGGTGGATCCGGGAAGGCATCTGTTCGGTGGGGGACCTTACCGATCAAGGTCCTGTGATGCCCAGGGGGGGTCGGAGGGGTCCGCGGAGTCCGGGTGCCAGAGGAAACTGAAGGCCAAAAGATACAGGGAAAGGGGAAACTAAGCCCCAACTTGAACGTTAGAAAAGACAAGGGCCTCAAATCCAGTTAGGCCTCCGCTGACATCCTAGGATCCACTCGATCCCCTGTGCGCTGTCGGTCCTGGCGTGCCAAACCGGATCTGGACCATCGCTGGGCTGCAGGTGTTCGGCGGGGCCCCTCCGATAGGTACGCCAGCCAGTCGTCAGGAGGTGGGATATCCACGTTCAGGAAGACGCCCAGGCCTGCTACATCCTTCGGGGAGTGGAGCACGAAAGAGGATTCCCCCTTCTTCACAATTAAGTGGAATGGGTAACCCCATCGGTAGGTCCAGGGCTATCTTTAACGCAGGGCAAAAGGGGCAGTTGCCCAGGGCCCACTCATTGTTGTGGGGCCCAAAGCAGCTGCCCCTTGAGCAGGTCCTGCGCTGCAAAACTCCTACCACTGGCCGTACATCTCAGCAATGACAGCAGAGCGCTGGATGATCGCAGAGCGGGTCACACGGAGAGAAAATGTTGGGGCCCAAGAAAATGTTTGCCCAGGGTCCAATCAGTATTAAAGACGGCCCTGGGTAGGTCCCGCAGTTCGGATCCGATCCAAAACTGGGCGAAGGAGTGCTCGGCGCCTGAGAGTGTTGCAGGATAGATCCGGGAGGATCTGTAGCTGTACTCAATCAAACTCGACAGGCCTACGTTGCCAAGCTGCCCGGAGTATCTCCTCCTTGGTGGTAAAGTAATGGACTCGGCACACCACGTCTCTCGGGGTCGGTGAGTTGGGGAGTCTTAACATTTGTCACGGCGTGCATGTTCATAAGTCTGATGTGTTTTTACAGCGTGTCAGTGTACACGTCCCTTCAAATCTCTTCCATACTGTCATACTGATCCAATGCCTTCAATCATTTCTGTGTCAATGACACAGAAGAAGTATGCAGCTATAATTTTACTGCCTAAATGTTTGTTTCAGGTTAGTGGCTCAAAAAGTGCTGAAGCCGAAGACTTCCAAGCAACTTGCATTTTCAGAAGGAGTTTGTTGATGGCGGCCACTATCAACATTTCTCTCAGTGCAGGTTTCACAAAACTGGAGCAAAGAAAATAGGAAAAGTTGTGCTGCTGCCCAAACCAACCAACCAGATTTCACTTTTATATTGATATTGAATTCCCTGTTATAGACAGAAACCAGAATTTAGAGTGGTGGTTATGGTAATTGTGCTCAGCTTTCTTTGCTCCAATCTTTATAAATCAGCCCCACGTTTGTCTGCAAGTGGGAACATCTACTGTATATGGACCATCTCTGTGGCCATCAATGTCTGTCAAGTTGTGTTATCACAGTCTTTCCATTAACGTTGATGCCCATCATCAGCATGTTTAATGGCGACATTATAAGCAAGTAATCAGTTTGATTTATTATTGTCATATGGGCAGCGCAGTAGCAAGGTGGTTAGAAAGTCTGCTTTGTATCAGTGGAGTTCTCGGTTAGAATCAAAGCCAGGACACTACCTGCATGGAGTCTGCATGTTCTCCCTGTGCTTGTGTGGGTTCCACAATCCAAAGAAAAGGAGAGGAATATGACGTGACAGAAGGGAGGGGGAAGCTGTCCTAGGTAATCAACCTCTTCTGTAATGGTGACATTTCCTAGCAAGCTCAAATGGACATTTCAAGTGAATGAAAAATCATTTATGGAAAGGAAAAATGCTGCAAGTAAGCCTTTAAAATACTTGACTTTTCTGTGCCTTTACCTGCAACTTTTTTTAAAGTCCGTGACAGGGTCTCTAAAAAAAAACAACAATTCTTCAGTAGGTCTCCTACTCCTTCACTGCCACAGACTTTTTCCAAGCAACACCAATACCCTACTTCATGTGAAATCAGAAGACATGACTGCAAATTCCCTCTACACTCACAAAAAACCCACAGTATTAACTTGCCTCACATCAATTTCAGAGGACGGGACAGGAGTCTGACCACCAGCAAGCGGAATATACTGTATGCATGCTAAACACTGAGAGAAGAATGCAGTTCTTCTGATTGACTCTTACTGGGCTCTAAACAAAGATTACTGGTGTTGATTGACTTTACTGGAGTTTTCATTTTTCTATTTGTAATCATTGAAAGCTTATACCTTACTACTATACAATGACATTTTTTTATTTACTGTTCTCTGCTGTCATAGGCAAGGTACTCTTCAACAGTGCCATCTGCATCATAGATTTCTTCTTCCAGAAATGAGTAGGTTGAGGACTGAAAATCCAGTGAACTTAAGCTGGATATGGACTCCTTGGTTTGTTGTAATGGAGATGCTGAAGGGACCAGCCTCGACCCAGACACACACAGTCTGAAGGAAGAAATTAAAAACTGTTAGTAAAAAGGAAAGTGTTAGCTATGCCACTATGCTTTCCACATAGAGAGCACCACATTCTCCCGATGGAATTTTATAAGAAATCTGAAGCACTAATATTTCAGCATCTGCAATAAAGTCGTAAGGACACAAAGAATGATATTTCCATAACAGGTGGGTTAAGTAGTTTACTGGCTACTGAGATCCTGGCCTTTCCACGGACCTTTGGTTTTGCATATTTCATATTGTTATACTTCCAAACTTTCTGAGATGAGAAAGAGGAACCCACTTCCAGAACAATGTAGTGGGGCAATGGACACACCCCTGCCACGTCCCCGTTTATGCAGAACAGTAATTTTATATGCCAAAATTACTGGTTAAAGCCAGAATTGTTTTCTTTTCACCATTACTTCTTCTTATGCTGGCTATACGGTCTTTAGCAAATAAGGTAATTAAGAGATAGGCTTAATGTTTTAGTGCAGAACACTTTTGGTAGTTAAATAGAAACTACTAGATAGCTGTACGTCAGACCAAAAAGAGGGACAACTGAGGAGGATAGATGGACATATGAGAAACAGTTGGGAGAGATATATATCTCTCGAAATAAATTAGTCAATAAGTAGAAAAAAAGTCTTAACAGGAAAACCCCAAACCCTGAAAGTGAACCGCTTTGAAGGTGCTACAGTGAATCAGATAATGTATTACTTTCTATTCAGGGTATTTGAAATAGTGGTGAAATGGGCTTATCAATGGGTCTCTGCACCACATTCTAATTGTATAACTATAAACAAAACATGTACAAATAATGGGACTTTTGGGGCCGGTCCACACCATAAACAGTGTGTTCGAGAGCAGTCATGCTGTTTCAGATCACACTGGACTGAAATGCAGGCATTGATGTACCATGCATTCTGGTGCGGGTGAAACCGGTTCATTGGTAAGAGGGGATACAGAAAAAGAGATTGAGGGCTCTGTGTCCTCAATCTCTTTTTCTATTTTAAAAGGGAAATATCAGGGGTCTGTTCAGATCCCTAATATTTCCCAACAGTAAAACAGTAAACATTGAATTCAATGGCACTGCTTCCACGTCCTCCCCCCCGCCCGCAGTGCGATCGGATGCTTGGCAAAACTTTGCCTGCATTCCGTTCAACTGCAAACGCAAAAAATAGAGCTGAAACGCAATTAAAAACGACCAAAATCTCCCTTTTAAAATCAGCGGTTTCCGGATCAGCGCGGAAACCACACTGATCCGCAATTGCACTGGTGTGAATGGGGCCTAATACTGATGTGACCTGGGACTAGTATGGGGAGAAAGAGTTAAAAAAAAAACACACACATATATAAACCAGCTCAGGACCTGGAGACAGAGGGGGGAGTGAGTAAAAGAAAAAAAACACACACACATATACTGCAGCTTAGGACCGGGAGAAGGTGACGGACGGGGGGGGGAGAAAAGTAACAAAACAAAAAAAAAAAACAGGAGGGGAGATAGAGGGGGAGGGAGAGTTAAAAAAAAAAAAAACATACACTTCACTTTACAATTGGGAGACAGAGGGGGGAGAGAGAAAACACTCACCTATGAGTCCACAGCTACACTGACTCCAGAGTCGCGCACAGCAGAGGGAACCTAGGGGTGGGGTCCAGCTCACATGGGGTCAAAGCTCGGAGCCCCATACAGTGGCGGCCACTTACTGACCACTACGATTTTTCAGCCCTTACCCCTTCAGCGCCCTCAAGCGGCCGCTTGACTTGCCTTGCGGTAGCGCCGGGCCTGCCCGCGGTCCTGTATGGCCGATTCAGTGATGCAAAAATAACTAAATTTTTGTTAAAGTTAAGATACTTGAATGCATTTTCAAGAATTAACTCCTGAGTTTAGTGTTACTTTAAAGTTCAGTGATGCATGGTCCAGTGGTGAGATGGGAACAACTTTTTTCCTCACTTTGCTTAAAGTATTACTAGTCATTTTCTATCTGCTGGTCAAAGCAGGCCTATTACTGTTTGATGGACAAGCATATTGCTGCTAAAGCTACCTAAAAATATTTTTTTTTTAAAACTGAAATGACTCCGTTATGGTTAATGCTATTGTCTGAAAGCTAAGCTAATTGTAGAAAAAGAAAATTGATTCCACAGCCAAATATAAGCTGCCAGTGTATGCAGTCAATGACGGTCTGTGAAAACTGTATCATTCCATAACAACATGATCAGCTTTAGGGCATCCCCAAGCATGTTATTTAAAGGGTTTGTGTATTTTTAATGTTGCCTTTGAAGACACATTAAAAAAACCCTCACCCATAAGTACTCCTCCATCTTCTTTATGAAATGGGAATCCTTCATACTGCACAACTACTCAGGAGTAGAGCTATATGCTCTAATCTATCCCTTCAAACTTACGAAATGGTACCTAGAGAGGAGGCTAGATAAAACCCTAGGGCAGTTAGAACTACCAGAAGATTATACCCCTGGCTAACTGAGGCAGTCTTTAGGCCTACCATCCATACGGATGTATGCTGGTGGACTGTTGTTCGGTCAGGGAATATCGATGTACTACCTTCTTGTAAATGTACAATTGTACATGCTATTCTTTTATTTCTTTTTTTTCCCTTTCTGTTTGTTTCTCTTTTATTTACATGTGACATGAGTATATGATCTTCTTTTATGCTTTGGCATTTGATGTTTAATGGAAACTCAAATTGTTTTTAAAAAAAAAAAAAACTCTCACCCCACTGTATAGAATTTTAAAAAAATAACTGTTTTGCATCAGCACACGTTCTCCATGGCAGTGCTTAGCTTCCCATGCCTTTTTATTACTACTAAATGTTTTATTGTTTTCAGTGGTTTTGTTCATTTTTTTCAGTAGCGTAAAAAATACACATGGAAAATAAAATAATTTTGACTGCTAATTTTAAATCAAGTTTTACTAACGCTATAAAATACTAATTTTATTCTGTGTGTTTTATTTATTATGACAATAAAATTAGATAGCACAGGTATTTGAAAATAAATTCTTTACACTCTCGTGTTTTTGCTTCTTTTAACCAGTAAACCACACAAAACAATGTTGCTGTAATCAGGAAAAAGTGCAGGGGACCTGGGACTGAGAATGGAAGTTGCTTAGAATTGGCTTTATTTCTGTTCAATTTATTACGGTTCAAATTACACTCTCAAAAAAGAACACCAGGGGTAACGTTCTACCAGGATTGCCTATATTCAATCATGAAAATAAATCAACTTACTTTCTTAAGGATCCAATGCCTTCAGCAGTACTTTGGTAAACAGCACCTGAACCTGTTGTGGAGAGACTTGATGTTTTACTCTGGATGTGCTGAAAGCCTTCATCCTTAGGATAAATTAGTTGTTTTCCTAAAATCCTTAAAAAGAAGACAAAGGAATTAAAGTTAGAGTTATTACACAAAATGCAAATCTATTTAGTAAAATGAAAGGCAATTGCAAACTTCCACAACCAGTCACCAGCCAGACTACAGTGGACAAGTATGGTTGCTTGCAATGGGTTATTGTATCTTGTACAACATCATTGCTCTTTGCACTGCTTTAATTGAATAAACCTGGAGGTCTGTAATATAGCTGTATTGAAAATAACTTACCTGCACTAATGCGGAGTTCACAGTCCATATTAAACTGAACATCTCAGGGATGTTAAGCATTTTAGAGTCATTTCACAATGACAAAAAAAATGCAATCTCTGGATGGATAAGAGTTTCATTTAATCCAGTGATTCTGTTCTAACTGCTGTATCTGACAACCAACTAGTCACTGGAGGGTGAATATACAAATCCGTATATGAAATAGCCTTAAATAAGTAAAATATGAATGTCATTTTAGGCAAACTACAATAATAACCGCAAATGTGTGCCCTCTAAAAAGTGTTAAACTATTAAGTATTTTTATATTTAACACTTCCTATACTCATTAGTGCCATCTAGGGGCTTTAGCGCTGTGCAAATGGCATCCGCCCAGCTGTAAGCCAGGTGGAATTTTTATAAATGAACCTCTAAGTGAAGGATCAAACTTCTAAAAGGCTCATTTTGCTCAGCAGATAGCATCTGGAAAATGTCCTTATCTCTATAAAAACAACAGTAACTGGACAAAAGTAAGCTAAGAAAAAAATAAACTATATATTTCTTACCTGAGATGGGGTGATCTCTCAGTCCAGTCTTTGCACTCTGCTTGCAGGTTCTTGTTCTGTGAAGTGACAGTGTCCTCAAAAAGCATCTCATCCACATCCCAGAACAACTGATGGACCCTCTGTGCATTGGCTTTATCAAACTCCTGGCAAAGAGTATGCACAATAAAACTTTATTGTTGCAACACAGAGTTTCTCAGTAAATGTAATAAGATAAACCTAAATTACACAACTAATTTTTAATTATACCGTTGCCATTTATAGAAATGTCTTATGTTGTCTACTAAAAAGTATTCATCTATTTGAAATTAAGAAGCAAGCTTTCTATCCACAGAGAATGGCCTGAGTGAAGACCAGCAAGTATGGATGTAGGACTGTAGGCTTATCTTGGTTGTCTCTACACAATGAATGTTTAAACACAGGCAACATTTTTTCTTTTAGATTTGGAGTGGTAAGGGGTTTTTATTACTGTTTGCGTCTCCATTAGCAAGATTCACTCACTCTAACTGTCCTGATCACCAATGTCACCAGGAATGAAAGAGGAGGGAAATCCAAAATGTTGAGATACAAATTATACACCGATTTAAAATAAATGAAACTGATGTTGTCTTTCTAGCAAGGTCTAACCAGTTTCCTCCTAGACTAGTACCTACAGTCTGTTAATAAGTACAACAGAAGCTTTTAATTTTTATTTTGGATAGAATAGAGGAGGGTTTTAACCCCATCAGCTTTTTTTTTTTGCAATCTGTGTCCCATTGGGGAGATATCCCTTCATTTTCTGTCCAATAGCCGCAACAAGTGGAAATCCCTCCAAAGTGAGGTAAATTCCTGGTGGTCAGCAGGGCCACCAGAACTTGTGTCCCCATTGGAAAACTTTCCATCCATTCCTGTTCTGGTGATAACCCACATTTTGGGATTTTCTTTCACTTTCACTGATAACTGTCCAAAGGACAAATAGAGAGGGTGAATCTCCCTAACGGAGACACAGAGAACAATACAAATCTGACATGTGATCTAATCTTGTTCCACTCCTTCCAAAACGTTGGCTTTAGTTGCACTTCAAATAAAAATTCAATGATACCAGTTAGTGGTAGAATATTCCATGTTCTGACGGCTACATTGCAACAGACATCACAATGCAAATAAAACTGGGAAATAGTCTTTTCAAGCTGCAGTCAGTAAATGTATCAATGAATGGGTAGACAATCTTATACAAAGTGTGAGGAAAACTAAGAAGGAACCTACATCATCTGTCCAGGAATAAACTGAGCTCCTCTCGGTGGACAGTCCAGTAGTATAGCTCTGTATTCCTGACCATGAATTATTTAACTCTGTGGGGGTAGTTTGTCCACTGGATGGAAGAGAGTAAACTGATTCACTGTGGAGAGACATCAAAGTATTAGACTTTGTTTAGAGACATAACAATCATTAACAATGTCAAATGCGAAAAGGGTAACATGATGCAGTAATTAGGATATTGACATACAACGGTTTGTGAGATTAGCACAGCACAAATATCAACATGTAAACTAAACTAAATAGCAAAATGAAAGCAACACATACATTGGAAGACCCATAAAGGGTTGGTAATCAGTGTGGTGGGTCACATCCTACATGATACACAACTGTGGTTTAATAGACCCAACTGTTTAGAGGGTCCCATAGCTGAGATCAAATTAGTACTATCTATTGGTAGCTTCATAGTAAAAGATTGCCAGAAAATAATGTGCTGACATTTAATTGTCTCTTTAAGTGTATCTAAAGCTCAGGATTTTATTGCTAAACATAGAAAATGGCCAACACTCCAACTGAACTTCCAAGATGACTGCTTTTATCTAAGACCTCACCCCTACAGATGGGTTATAGCAGTTGTGCAGTGTGGTTTGGTGTATTGCAGATTTTTATTGCGGTCTTCCTCTGGGGAGGTTTACCCTCTCTATTTGTCTTAGTGACCGGGACTGAAAGTGAGGGAAAAGCCCAAATTTTGGACTGTCATCTGAACAGGAATAGAGGGAGAACCCTCCAATAAGGACACTTGTATGGTTGACAACTGTCTTAGAGAGAATTACCTTTTAATTTAGAGAGATTTTTTACTCACTTCCTGTTATGTTTCTGAGACATAAAGTACAGGACAACATCCCCACTGGGGTACAGAAGGGGGGAAAAAAAATTGGTATGGGTTCAAACTGTTCCCTTCTCTATCTAAAACTAACAAATAATTCCTACAAATACATATTTTTTATGATGATTTTGTTTGTATACAATACCATGTGTAGTTATGGATGGCTTCTTGCACAGGGTGTGTGAACTGTACTGGCAGAGGGTCCACACGGTCTGCGCTTCCTCGAGACAATCCCTTTCTGGAAAACAACAAGATTTGATTCAATATAATCCAGTAATTAAATATTGGCAATAAATTAAATACTGTACACCAAATAGCCAGAAGGTGCAAATGATATACATATCAGTTTTCCAGGCCATCAGAAAAGCAGGAAGTCGCACTCCAATGACATCAGACTAAATACCTCCTCATGTATCACTGGCCCTCTTAGCTTGTAAGCCCTCACGGGCAGGGCCCTCCTTACCATCTTGTCTTGATTTGTATTGAAATTACAATTAGAGCTGCAACAGTTAATCGATTGCGTCGATTAAAATCGACGATGGAAAACGTTATCGACGATGGCAAACGTTGACTAGTCGGATATCGATAGGTTAGCCTGTTCGGGGCTCCACACATGACCCGTCGTGTCCGGCATGAGACGTCACATGGCAAGCCCGCCGGACACGGCGCAGAAGCCACGCCCACCGCACACGCCGCTGCTCCTCTCCTCGCAGTGAGCTCCCTCACTCGCCGCACTCTTGGTGTGACTGGGCCCTCCCCGCCGCATGACACGTCTCCCCACTCCCCACCCCATTCTGCATTGCGCTGTATAAACATTATACAGCACACTGCAGAATACCACCAGCTAGAGAGGACTACAAAGCCCAGCAATAGTCCATTATAGTATAATGGACTATTGCTGTGATTTGTTATATCCCTCTAGAGCTGCTGGTATTCTGCATTGCACCGCTGTGTAATGAACTATATTGCACACCACGCTTTTTTTTTTTTATTTCCACCGCTCCAGGCTTGCTCCCACGATGGACTACAATCTCAGTACAAACTAGTAGTCCATCACCGGAGCCATTTTCTGTATCCGATTAACCGATTAATCGAACTTAATAATCGGCTAACTAATCGATCATGAAAATAATCGTTAGCTGCAGCCCTAATTATAATGTCTTCCCTATATTGTTCAGCGCTGCACAAACTGTTGGCGCTATATAAATCCAGTATAATAATAATAAATCCAACTTTAATGAATCTGGATGGATTTCCATGGCTGAAGAAGGAAGATACCAGGCCAGAAGAAGCGACAGAGGAAATGATAGTGATGGTGGACAAGCCATCAATAGGGATCACAGAGCTGTCAATGCAGGAGATAGGCAAACCCAGACCTAAGTTTAGCATAATGTACAAGTATACTATGCATTATGGCAAGAGCCACTAGGAATACATACTATAGTTATTTTGATAATGCAATCAATTACTTGAAAAAAATCCCTTTTATGTTGCCTTTTGCCTGTCCATCACTCGCAACAATTTCCTAGATTCCTAATGTGCTTTGCATCTCTTTCCTTGCTCCGTGATGTGATGTAATCTTGATTTCTCAAAACGACTTATCCCATCATGCATTGCTTCCAGCAAGCAATGATAATTTTACATTGTTGCGTCTCTTGCCTTGCTGCATTATGTCATCTTGATTTTTAAAAACTGCATATACTCTCATGCATTGCTTCCAGCAAGCAATGATAATGTTACATTGTGAGAAGTTCATACCTTGAGTTGCATTAGAGACAGAAGGCTTAGTTAGAGTTGTGACACAAGGAACAGCATATTCACAGGGCTGAGTGAAATTGTGTCAGTGCATTAAGGAAGTACATCCTTCAAGAAGTAAGTTTACAAACTTCTAGATCAATATGGGTGTTAGGAGTGGGATAGTACTTATGGAAATTCTATGTAGAAATATATATTTTGTTTTAGTTTTTGACCATAGATACTCTTGGAAGTGCATATGTACTGCCGTCTGTCTATTAATGTGGCAATGCTAGCACATTGACCTGCAATATGACATCTTCAACTGTCACTCAGCATCTTGAATATATTCTGGACACCACATTATTGCACAATGTAACAGTTGCCATATATACAAAGGGTGGAGTTGATTTGGTACTGAAAAATAAGAGCTAGGAGGATAACACAGGGATGTGTGCAGAGGACACAGAATAGCTCTGAATTTCTAATAAGATTAACAGGTTTTTTTTTTGCACGTTTCAAACAGGTATAACAAAATGTCTCCAATGGTATATTTAACAGACCAAATGGGAGTAAATAAGAGAAGTTCATACATTTCTAACTTAGAGCAATTAATACATTTGATAATAGTCTGGGGAAGATCAGAAAGTTGTAGTAATAAACAACTTGCAAGAAAAGAATAACCTTTCATTTCTACGACTTATCTTCTCCAAACACTGTGACCACCAATAAATGGACCAGGAAACGATTGCTGAGAATCACTGTGCTCTAGTCCTCCACTGTTCTTTCCACATCATTAAATAAGCACCATTCATGTCAGGTGGGTTCTTTAATTTTGGCAGCATGTTGATTATGGAAATACACAGGTGCTAGTATTTTTATTATATTGTTCTTTCAGGGAAAGGCTATTATTTGCACATAAATTGCATAGCTGACTGCTGTGGCTCAATTATTAACAAAAAGCTTATCGATTTAGACAGGTTGTTCCAGGGAGCAATTATTAACTGCTCAAACTGCTCAGTCCTTGAAAAAGCCTAACAAAATTACTGTCCAAAGTCTTTGGAGCCCTTGTCAAACTAGCATTAAACCCGGTTGAAGGGACCTGCCCTCCCTAGCTATGGCTGAACATGCCTGCTCTTAGTTCTTTCAGCCATTTAACAATCTGTGTACAAACATAACTTGAAGGTCAAACCACCACAAATACTGTATGCATGAGATTGGCTTTGCAAGTAGTAGATTGTACGCACAACCTTTCTGATTTATAGGAAAAACATGTCCATACTGATACTGTCTTACTGCTTACATCTAGAATTTGAGTGCCAGGGACTTTACGTTCCTAAGGTTTTTTTTTTTTAAAGGGGCCACAAAATGAAACTGATATCAAAACTCCCTCTTATAAAGCATACATACATTAGAATGGACAGTAATGGTCAAATTGTTATTTGTACATCGGCATGCAGAAGGCCTCAGCAGTTATCAATCCTGTCGCATCCTCTACATTCTTCAAACAGTCGCAATCATCAATTAAATCGCATATTGCAACTGAGTTACTATTGTAGTGTTTACTTAATTCATGAATCTCTGGCAAACAGAAGCTTAATCAATATTGTGAATAATGAAGTATACTGCAACACATTAGAGCTAGTTGGATCAGAAGTGCCTGCAATCAGAGAGGAGTCAGCGCTGGATCGGAGAGCCGCCGCACAAGGCCAACAAGAATAGTGGGGGTAATCTTCCAGTGGGGACACTAGTTCTGGTGACCCCACTGACCAACAGGGATTTCCCTCACTTTGGAGGAATTCCCTCCGACTTCCTGCTGTGGCAATCAGACAAAGTGGAGGGAACTCAGTGGGACACAGAGGGCAGGAAACACTTACATGGGTTATAACCCTTCCTTACTTTGGCTATGTTCACACCATGTCTGGACCAGATCTGGATGTTACCGCAATTTTGCAGCGTCCTGGTGCTGTTTTTTGTTTGGGTTTTCAGGTGTGGTCCAGTGTGTTCAAGTGTGTTTGCATGCGTTCCAGTGCATTCCCCACCAGAGAAAATAGACAAGCAGTATTTTTTTTTCTGTGTGGACCGGTACGGACTGCACTGGTATGAAAAGAGCCCAGAAATACCATATGGATATATTGGAATGCTTTTTTGGTCCAGGAACAAACTGTTCTGGTCTGGACAAGCCCTTTATTCAAAACAAAAATTCAACTGTATATAGTTACTATTTGAAAGGCCTCCAGTAAGTTATACTTTTGATTGTGCAATGTAAAATATATTGCACTGACCTCTAAGAACCTATCCCTATATCACTAATCTCTAGAACTGAATTTAATAAAATGACAACATCCATCAGCCGGGGCAGAAAGAAGGATCTCATCCTCGCCCTATAGCCAGCGTTATGGCTTAACTGGCAAACGTTGATCTCAACTGATTCCATAAAAACCTGACTCAGTACAACTGAATGTAGTAAGTGTATTTCATACACTATTATGTATATTATGTCTATATCTATACACCTTCCATTTGATATTGTTCACAAGTGTCCAATGAAATGAGCTAGTCCTCAGTGAAGAATTACTTACGGTAAGAAAGAGGTGTTTTGTGTTGTGGCTGAACATCATTATTGCTTTCAGACTCCCTGAAAGCTTCAATAATAGATGAAGGCTATATTAAGCCATTAATGAAGAAAGAATGAACAACCTCAAACCATCAAAGGTGACAACTAAAATGACTTAAATTTTCCAGATGTTCATGTTTGAGCAGTACAATAAAAAGTCGTATTAAATAACACCTTGAGGGTGAAATGCAATATTCCATTCTGATGTAAAATTCATGAGCACCTATGATGAGTATGTTGGTTGGTATAATCATTTAATCAACTTTTAGTGCCACACCTTCCAGAGATCCATTTAATCCAGGTTTAAATATCCTTCATCTACATGTGTGTCTCTGTCAGTACAGGATACAAATCATGTACACAAGTAGGCGAGATT